ATAGATTGCCTGGAGGTATAGAAGACAATGAAAAAATTTTCCACAGAAGACCATCAAGTCTTCTTCCATAGAAGACCATTATTTTTTTTAAGAAGACCTGAAGGTTTCATTTTGCAGAAGACCATAGGATATACTTCTATATAAGGTCAACTCTATGTAAGACCAGGCGATATTGTTCTATAAAGAATACTTTAATACATATAATACTTTAAAATATTTTCAATTGAAAACCACGAGATCTTCTATAGAAGACCATGAGCCTTCTTCTAAAAATATGAGTGGCATTCTTCTATAGAAGACCAGTGGTCTTCTCCTAAGGAATACCAGAGGCCTTTTTCTATAAAAAAACTGAAAAAATTTTCTAAAGTAGATTATAATGCAATTTTTAGGAGTTTTTTTTATTACAGAATGCCATTCATTTTTTCCCTTTCAGACCATAATGTCTTCTTCTGTATGAGACATGGGACATTCTTAATCATAGGTATTTCCATGAGGCTTTTCTGACGTTTTCTATAAAAAAAACGTCATGTTGACATCTATCTCCACATATGTATTTTTAAATATGAAAACTCCCGTACTGCTTTCAAACTATCCCCAAGCCCTTTTTATATTGCTTCCATATCAAAAACTGACAGCGAACACTTTAAACGTCCATATTTATTGTTGTTTAATCCGAACGCTGAACGAAACTTCAAAATATTTTACAATAATTTCAATCATTTCTGTTCAACACATGTTACAATTGAAGACTTGTTGATGTTATTTACGGCTCTTGAAAATTTCATTGAAGTATTTCAGATGTTCATTTCAAACATCCTCACGACCCTTACCCCCAATTCAATTGATTTCATTGAGGCAACAATAAAAGGCATAGCAAATAACAACAACAACAACGCAGCCAGCCATCCAGTCGACCAGCCAACCAATACCACAAAATAACTTTGCAAATCAAACAATCCAAGCAATGTACACAGACACACATACATGTATATAATGTGTGAATGTGGGCGTGTGTGTTATGTATATGTGTGTGTGATTGTTTTATGTTTGTAATTGTGTAAAGCATTTAACAACATCGTTTACATATCATTAGGTTTTCCCCATGTAAACACAAGTATATGTTTATGAATTTGTATGTGCGAGTGTGTGCAAAGGAAAGTAAGGTGTTGTTACGGGAAACGGATACGGATGCGGATACAAGGCTCCGGTATCCGTGCGTGTGTTTGTGTGTGCGTTTGCATGTCTGTGTTCATTGTATTTTGTAATATAGCAGCTTAATTTTGTACAAAACGGTATTATTGTTGTTTTTAGTGTTGTTATTCTTCTCTTATTCCTACTGTCAGTTGAATGGCTGCCCGACTAGCTGGCTGGCTGGCCTTGTTATCGTTATTCATGTTGTTGCTGTTGTTGTTGGCGGTGGTGGTGGTAAACAGTTTGTGTTTATTGCCAGTTAATTTATTAGTTCAATAATTGAAATTTGATTGAATTTAATTACACTGCCATATATTATTATAAGCAATGAGCACGACAAATGTGATGAGATGAGGCGACGAGGAGGCCGCTGACATGACAACGGAAGGCAGAAGGCGGTAGTCGGCTATTATTTTATGGCCACAAGCCAACAAACCACAACAAAGTGACTAACACGAACGCCAACACCAACACCACCATGGCCACCGCCACTGACATAGCCACCAGCAAGTTATGGCAAAAACATCACACGGCAGCAGCAGCAGCAACAACATCAACACAACGGGGTTAAAGCAATAGGGCTGCTACAACAACAACAACATCAACAATAGCAATAGCAACAACAAACAGGCCCATAAGACAACAAAAGCCATGACTCTATTTAACCATAATTTGCTGTTGTAATTATCGCCATTTGAGCGGCAGGATAATAGCCACGACAAATTATAATGTTATTTAGATAATTAAACCATTTTAAAATGCGATCATCATCAAAATTCATTGAAATAATCACATAAATTTGTTTATTTTTCGGGAGGGAGGCTCTATGCAGTGGGAATTTATTAAATTTTTAGATTTCGAGGAAACGATAATTATTATTTAATCAGCTTAGGTTATGAATGTGAATATAAATGGTAGATGGAATTTAAACAAAAGACCACTGGAATTATAAATGAAATAACAATGGACTGGAATTTTGTTGTCCGTAGAAAGGAAACTGAATCATAATCAGTCCTTTTATAGGGAAGCTTATTTATAGAATAGAGTACTGTATTTTGTATTGTTTTATATTGAAATGTGGCATTTTGACACTAAAGACTAGAAAGTCATAATATTCCAATATGAACAAATAAATATTTTAATAAAATCCACCTATGTCCATGAAATAATTATAGAGATAATAAAAAAATAATAAAATCCGCGAATGAAATGAAAAAAATATTCTCTATTAAATCCGCGCCTCTAAGTCCATGAAAATATATTTTTTATAAATCCCAATTTTTTGTTTATAAATTTACGCCTTTTTATAAAAATCGATACTAGGTTCACGATAACAAATATTTGTTGATTAATCCACTCCTACAAAATCAATTAACATCTAGGTCCATTAATAATATTTTTTTTTTTATAAAAATCGAACTTATATCCATGATAACAATATTTTTCTATAAATCCACGCCTCTGGATCCCCAAAAAAATATTTTTATTACTAAATTTAGGCCTCTAGGTCCATGACAACATTTTTTTTATAAAAAAAAACGTCCCTAGGCCCATTATAAAAATACTTACTTAGCTGGATTGTGACAGAACTTTCGTTCCATAAGCTTAAAAAATATTTCCAGGCGCGTCTGTCGCAGTTACGCAGTTTTTTCAATTTGAAATACCATGTTCGGTAATGTTGTCTTCCACTTGATCTTTCGTGGTCTTCCCCTTCTGCGTGAACTATCCGCTGGTTCGCTTTTATCTGCCTTTTGAGCTGGGACATATTCATCCATTCGCATAACATGACCTAGCCAACGTAGTCGCTTCAGCTCGATACGTCTGACAATGCGGATGTCCGAGAATATATGGTACAACTCATGGTTCATTCGACGGCCATATTCACCGTCTACACTGATCGGCACATAGATCTTTCGGAGAATGTTCTATCAAACACTCCAAGAGCTGCCCCATCTGCTTGTGTAAATATGCATGCTTCAGATCCATATAACAGCACGGGAAGTGTCAGCGTCTTGGAGAGTGTGAGTGTGGTCTGGCGGCAGGTAGCTTTGTTTCTAAACTACTTAATTGTAGCATCTCTTGGCCAACACTATTGTTCCCCGAATTTCAAAACTGATGTCATTAGTTTTATTTACCAAGGATTAGTTTTATTTACCAAGGTACATAAAAACTTTGGCTACTTCGGAGCTGTAGTTCTCAAGTTCCACAGTAGGTCCGAGTCTACTGGACGTCTTGCGCGTTGATACCATCAGCTTGGTATTCTTGCCGTTTACTGCCAGACTCACTTTGGCAGACTCCTTCTCAATTTGAGCGGTGGCTGTTACCGCTCCCAATGTTCGACCCATTATGACGATGCCATCTGCGTAGGCGAGTAGCATGTGTTGTTTGGTTGTTGTAGCAGCTTTTACAAAATGGGGTGACAGATGTGACAGACTTTGATCAAGTAAGACTCGGGTCGTTTCGTATCGTAGACCCTCTGTCATGGAAACGAGTGACATTCGGTTTCACCTTTGCCTGTCGTATGATCTTTTCCAGCAGGATGTTAAAAAGGTCACAAGGTCACAAGGGCTTTTACAAAATGGGGTGACAGAAGTGACAGACTTTGATCAAGTAAGACTCGGGTCGTTTCGTATCGTAGACCCTCTGTCATGGAAACGAGTGACATTCGGTTTCACCTTTGCCTGTCGTATGATCTTTTCCAGCCGGATGTTAAAAAGGTCACCTTGTCCGAATACTCTTTCTAATAAAGGGCTACGAGAGATCCTTTCCGATTTTAACTGCTAATCTTGTGCCAGTTAAAGTTGTCCTGCATAGCCGAATTAATTTTGCAGGAATGTCAAACTCAGACATGGCTTTAAACACCGCTGAACTGATAGGGCAATCGAATGCGGCTTTATCGATGTGCTTTACATGGATGTGTCGATGTGTTTTACATGGATTTTTTGCAGGATTTGGCGCAGAGTAAAAATCTGGTCAGGTCTGGTCACTTTATATGCGATGGGAAGGAGACTTACTCCTCCTTGTGCACAGGATACAGGATGCTGAGGATCCAATCATTGGACATGCCTTCCTCTAGCTAAATCGTAATAATCAGTTGGTGCATGCTCCTGATCACCATCTGACCACCGGTCGTGAATAGTTCGGCTGGTCATCCATCGGCATCTGCTGCTTTATTATTCCTCAGTCGATTAATTGATATTCTAACCTCATCTTGACTAGGTAGTATACAATCTTAATCGTCATCTCTTATTGATTCTGGGGTACTATTGGGAAACTTTGAAACTTTGCAAAATGCTTCTTTCAGATCATCAACACTCTATCTATATCTGTCATCAGGCTCTGTGGTATCTGCTTTACCGCTACTATTTGCTACCAGATGTTTTTCAAAAAGCTACTTCCAGAACCTCAAAAAGCTGCCTGAATCTGTCACCTGGTGGTCCTAGTGTAGAAAACATCCTTTGCTATAAAATCGGTTGCGATTTTCGTATCGTTTTCATATAAAGTTACACCAGGGATTGAGGGTAATTGCAGTTATTCCTGGGTTTACTTTTCATGGTGGATTAAGGAACTCTCAACGCGTTTCAAATAATGAATACGTAGAAGTCTTGTAATTACTGAATTGTCGAAAAAAATTTTCGAAAGATTGGGAAAATTTTTTTCTCTTAATGTGAACGATGATAAAGCTTCAGGTTTATTCTCGAATTTTCCAATACCTATTTATATATTATAAGTGTATATGTATTTGAACACTGTATTGTATTTGAATACTAATGTCCGCCATCTATTTGTATTTGTTTTTCTTTTTCCAGCCATTACCGAAGAACCCGAATTTACTGAATACATTGAAAATGTAACTGTACCTGCTGGACGCAATATCAAATTGGCGTGTTCTGTTAAAAATTTAGGATCATATAAGGTGAGTACAGTCAACATACCTGAACATATGAATGAACAGCTAATGGAGTTTTAGCTAAGATTCAATTAGTCATTATCAAAATGTGTATACGAGTGTGAAATTAAAATTTTCTGAACATATCCAACAATATTTCCTTATTTTTTATCACATTTTCTTATTTAACTGATATTTGAAATTATTTTCAAATGCCCTGGTGACGTATGATTATTTGTTTACTTCGTTCATTCGCATAAATTATACGCCATTACATGTGAACATCAAATTACTTATCGAGTGATTTTGTTATTAGTTTTTTCTACATCTTCTCCTTCGGTTTGAAATCAACAGACAATATCGAATGTTAAACAGATCTTTCGTTCGATAATATATTTCACATTAAAATATAAGTTCCTTCGAAGACGAAGACAAAAAACAATTAGTCCCTGTTCTCTACTCATACAATCCATAAGCTTTTAACGTTGACACAGCTGCAGATTCAGAAAACTTTCTTATTGTTGCACAAGCCAAAAAAAAAAATGCAAAGGAATCTTTGGCATCAACAGAAATGCCTTCGAAAATAACAATAATGTGACAGTATTGTGAAGACAACAAACATATATCCTCACATCCTCTCCCCCTCCACGAACATATGACCGTCGATGTACTATGAATCGGGAAACTGAGTGCGTATGTTTACTGAGTAAAAGCCATGGATAACTGACAGACAAATGACAGTTGTTGTATTGTGACAAAAAAAAAAATAAATACATAAAAAACACAAAAACATACCGTGGGAATGCTAGTCGAGTAGCTGAAGAAGTAGAAGTTAAATAAAAAAATCCCCAAAGTATGCCACTTATACACGCAACAATATGCAACAACTCTTCATTTGGTGTATACTACACAGACAAAACGCGGAACATGCCGGAGTGTTAGTCTGCTTGTGTAAACATGTTGTTATTTATTTGCATTGCAGTGCAGTGGGGGAGCAATTTTAATAGGACATGATTTTTTAAAATGTTCAGGAATTGCGTTGTTTTTGAAGGGACTTGAATTCCAATAATTGATTATTGAAAATAGAATTGTATTTATTCTATAGAAACAAATCACAGATTACAGGATTGTAGTGTTTTCTATAAAAAACTTTACCAGATCCCAGAAATTAATTTTTCTATAGAGAAACCCATACTGCATTTTCATAGAACAACAGCCCTGGGGTATGTGAATTTGTTTCTATGAAAAAATTCCCATAGAAAATTTGTCACTGTCCCACAGAAGCTCCTATAGGCAAGTTGTTCAACCATATTGGCTGTTGATTAATATTTTATGTTCTCATTACATAGCAAATCTTCAGGGTATGTGAAATTTTTTCTGTAAAAAAAAAACAACGTTGTGGTCTGGGAATTTTTTTTCAATAGAAAAAACAACAGCCCTGTGGTGTTTGATTTTTTTCTATAGAAAAAAACAACAGCTCGATGGTCTGTGTGTAGTTTTTCTATAGAAAAAACAACAGCCCAGTGGTCTGTGAATTTTTTCTATAGAAAAAAACAACATGTGCAATTTTTTCTGTAGAAAAAAAACAACGTTGTGGTCTGGGAATTTTTTTTCAATAGAAAAAACAACAGCCCAGTGGTCTGTGATTTTTTTCTATAGAAAAAAACAACAGCCCTGTGGTCTTTGACTTTTTTCTATAGAAAAAAACAACAGCCCTGTGGTCATTGAATTTTTTTCTATAGAAAAAAACAACAGCCCTGTGGTCTGTGAATTTTTTTCTATAGAAAAAAATAACAGCCCTGTGGTCTGTGAATTTTTTTCTATAGAAAAAAACAGCCCTGTGGTCTGTGAATTTTTTTCTATAGAAAAAAACAGCCCTGTGGTCTGTGAATAGAAAAAGTATAAAAAAAAAATCAAGAATCCTGGGTCTGTGAATGTTTCCCATAAAAAAGCAACAGTCCTGTAGTATACGAATTGTTTTCTATAGAAAAAAACAACAGCCCTGTGGTCTGTGAATTTTTTTCTATAGAAAAAACAATAGTCCAGTGGTCTGTGAATTTTTTCTATAGAAAAAAGAAAAACAACAGACAAGTGGTCTGTGATTATTTTCTATAGAAAAAAACAACAGCCCAGTGGTCTGTGATTTTTTTTCTGTAGAAAAAAACAACAGTCCTGTGGTCTGTGAATTTTTTTCTATAGAAAAAAAAACAACAGTCCTGTGGTCTGCAAATTATTTTCCATAGAAAAAAAAACAACAGCCCAGTGGTCTGTGAATTTTTTCTATAGTAAAAAACAACAGTCCTCTGGTCTGCGAATAGAAAAAGTATAGAAAAAAATCAAGAATCCTGGGTCTGTGAATGTTTTCCATAAAAAAGCAACAGTCCTGTAGTCTACGAATTATGTTCTATATAAAAAACATGCGTCCTGTTGTCTCTAATTTTCAATAGAAAAATTTGCACTTGGATGTGTGATTTTTTTCCCATATCAAATTTGTCAGAGTCCCACAGGACCCTTAGTGTTCAAGATGTTGTTTTTCTAGGACGTTGTTTCTCTGATTTTTTTTCTTAAGGAAAATTTTATTTAAAATTTAAATATATTCGTCATTTTGCCCTGAAGATGAAGGGCATATCAGGTTCGTCCTTGCCGATCTTAACCCCATTTTTTCTTATTGTTATTGTTGTTTTTCATCACTCCCTTGACTGCATATTCACATTAAGGCACTGATTGTTATGTGTCATTTTGGTTGAACTTCTGAAAAAAATGCCAGGATATATATTAAAACAGATGCATGTCTTTTCCAATGTCGTTGGGTTTTTTGCGTTTCCCTCTTCCCCCTTCTTTCTTCATAGTATACCCTCCCATCACGTTACAGTACTACATGTTGTCAATGTTAAATGTGGCACAATACTCAGTCGTCGTTTCCACATGATGATGAATGTACTGATGAATCCTGTTGAATACTCTATGGGGCGTTCATTTTAATGTGACACAACTCTGGCAGGCAGACTGGCAGAGAGACAAACAACCACGAAGGCAGCCAGACAGACGTACAGTTGTATTGTGTCTCCTGTGAAAGTCTCCATATTTTCATTGCCACTCACTCACACTTTTGGCTAATGTGTGAAAACAAATGTCTGAGGACAATTTTGTGAGGAGGACAAGTCGCAATGCATTTGCATAGCTCCCTTTTGAAACGGAGTTATTTTTTTATTATGCAAAATGTTTACGATTAACTTGGTTTAATATTAATTTTCTCTCGAGAGCTTTTGATATTCTGTTGCATGCATTTCGAGTGATTCGTGGGAGTGCATCAAACGTGGCACGATTTCCATCTTTTATTTCATTGGGCAATTTAACATTTTGCATAGCTGGTTTAATGCACAAAAGATTAATTGTGTGAAAAGTCAGGCTGTCAGCGAGGCAGGCAGGTATTTTTTTTAATGCCAGGAGACAGAACATTTGGTTGACTGAGTGACTGGCTGACTGACTGCATGTGTGATTCAATAACCATCGTTTTCCATTGCAAATACAATAAATGCATTTGTTGTTGATGTTGCCTTTTTTGGTTTGGTTGACAGTAATCGGTGTTATTATTTATAATATTCGGTTATGGTCATAGGGATAAAGCCGGGAGATAGAGGGAGGGATTGCGAAAACGGGATTCACTTTTGTTATTATTATCTGTCAGCAGCGTCACATTCATATTTGTCATTGAAGCATAAAATTAATTTGCTGCTGACATTGCATGACTGAATATTATAATAATAATACCAATAATCATTATGATGATGATGACGATGGTAATGTTCACGCTGATGTTCATGATGATTATGGAAAATGTTGAAGAATGAAACTCAATGGACAATACCATTCATGAATACTTATATCATGATGTATGTAAATATCTGTTGGCTTCGACGGACTAACGGATGGATTTCATTAAATAAAATGATTTAATAATTGTTACATTTTTGGGATAATTCAGATTATTTCATCGACTTCGAATACCGAATTAGCTTATTTCACTATAGTTGTATATTGCGAGTTTACATTAAAATTATTTTAATTTTTTTGAGAAATTGAAATAAATAGTATTCCAAAATTGGAATAAAAATCATATATTTAAAATTAGGTCAACATCAATATCAGATAATTTTATCTATAAATCGTGATCCTATTAGGAAACATCTATCTGCCTATAGAAAACCCAGGTTTTGCGGACATATAATAAATTTTATTGATCCGTCGTTATCCAACAGCAAATAATCTCCTGACTCAGAGGAAGATACATGTTAACCAATAGAGAGATCAAATATGGTGTCTAAAAGGCATTCAAATATTTTTACTATTGACGTCATCTGATATTCTCCCCCAAAAACCGACAGAAGATGTTCTGAAAATAAAAGTCATATATTTTTTTAAGTAGAAGACACATATTTTATTCATATTAGACCTTACCGTAGAAAGTCACAGAAAAAGTCGTCTGGGCACACTAGGGCTTTGAGAGGTCAAAAGTGAAGGTACTGTTGATCTATCACAAGATTTTCTTGTGAGAGACCAAATATGTAAGGCCTGCAAATATTTCTACTACTGACGTCATTTGGTACTCTTCCTAAAAGTCAACTGAAGGTCTCCTGGAAATAGAGATTTTGTTGGAGTGGAAGATATCTTAAAGGTCTCCGATTAATATAAGACTTTGCCATAGGATGCCAGTGAAAAAAATCTTCTGAGCAGACCAGGCTTCTGAGATGTCTGAAAGGCCACAGCTGGGTTCTGAACGGTCTTGTGGCCAAAAGAGCCAGAAGAAGATTTTCTTATGAAAATATGAAAATAGTCAATGGGAAGATCTCGTCTAAAATACCTTAAAATATTTTTAATACTAAAGACATCCGTTAATCTGACGATAAAAAAGGCGTTCTAAAAATAGGAGTGCTCTAAATGGTTGTCCGTAAGCAGATGTCTCTTAAGGAGGTGTTATCTAAATATTACATTCTTTAATCTGAATTTATAGACAATTTTCATTTATA